ACTGGCTGCCGACTCTGTGCCACTTCTACATGACAACGTCTGCATTATACATGTGCAGCATTCCTCCTGGAAATTCAAATGTAGGTCATATTTTCGAGGTTAGTGGGTTCATTCAGACTCTTCATATAACATTAATGCTGCAAACATGGGCCCTGTGTGCCCAGAACAGACGAGGAAAGGGTTTAGTAGCCTGACTTTATAATCCTCATATTTCTGCTCATGTATGGCCGCTGCTCTGTTTCCTTTGAATCAGTGTAGCCACGATAGCTTTTTTTAAGGAACAAGGTTAGTTAAAGTCTGCAGGTATGTAGTAAAATGAATCGTTGCCGATTCTGCTGGTTCGCTTTATTGTCGCTTCATCATTAACAGTGTCTTCATTCACAGGCCTACTATGCCCGAGATGCCCTTGCCAAAAATCTCTACAGTCGCTTGTTTAGCTGGCTGGTCACCAGAATCAATGAAAGCATACAAGTAAGCGATGTCAGGCATCTTTTTAATTTATTTATTTAGACTGACAAAACTCCACTGCTGTACTTTATTCCTAATGGTACCAATATTGTGTCCCTGCAGGCACAAACTAAAGCTCGGCACAAGGTCATGGGCGTCCTGGACATCTACGGCTTTGAGATATTTGAGGTGAGACAAATAGCAGCTCAGACCAGCCTTTTTTTATCCTGACAGGCCACAAAGACACAGTCGGACCATCCAAACATTTTTATTACAAGGAAAAGAAGTTTGCCCTCGGCTGTTTGCGTGCATGTTTTGGTACCTGTGTGGAGCCTGTCGGCAGAAACGTAGAGCTGATAAAACCACACTGAGATCAGATTAGTTCAGTTTTTGTTGTTGCTCCTGGGGTTGAAATTATTTTTGTGGAAAAGTGGTTTCAATTCTCAAAGTCTGCATTTCACAGCAGGAAAATAGCCTTTGCATCAGCGCGCTGCTCGCCACACTCTGCACGTCGTATTCATGCTGTTGTTACACAATCAAAGGTGATTCTGATTCTCAGCGTTAACATCACATATTACAGCGAGACGTAGAACAGGCTCCATTTATGCTAACTGTATACAAAGTAATGCACCAAACGCCACATAGACAGCAATGCATGTAAACATGTGACAGAGTTTGAACAGAATGACGGCTTCAAGTTTCTTTGTTGTGATGCACGATGCCCCCCGTTCATGTCTTGCTCCTATCCCTGCTCGTTCACCCCTCTCACTCTCGAGTCCTTCCTCTCCTCTCGTTGTTGTTGTGTCTGGGTCACCAGAATGGAGTAAGTAACACCTGCACCTGTTTGCTGTGGCCGCGAGCATGCTGTGATCTAAACTCCTTAATTCACCTCCCCGTTAAGGACGATTCAGGGCTTCTCGTGTGCAGCAGAGCCACGCGGCTGACAGGAGGCTGGACAAGCCAAAGTCACAGGCTGCTTAAGTCAGTTCAGTCACTTAAAGCAATGCACTCTAATGCAACAGGCCTGCAGTGAAGCCTACATGGATAACAGTTATGTGAAGCTCTCGGCCTTATTGCGTGTTGCACTAACAGGTGTTTCTATTATTAATATTAATGAGTGTAGAATGAAATGCTTTCCTAGAACGAGCAGGTGTTTCAATAAGACTGAAAGCTGCTGAGTCTTTATTTGGCTCCAGTTTTTAAACAGGATAACAGAAAGTGATTAGTTTAAAAATGGATCGGTATTTTGGAGAGATGAAAATGGATTTACTTTATTTATATCATGCTGATATTTGACACAGACCGTACCAACTTTAGCTGGCAGCATATTAAAAGCATCATAAAACGATCGTGTGTTAAATTTTAGTTTAAACATAATAACATGGTCAACATGTCAGTTACTGAGCTTCAGAGGAACATTGTTCATCTTGGCTAAATGTTTATTATTCAAACGTGGAACCATTGAAAGTCTGTGAACATGAAGGCATTTTTATTATGTCCTTGAATGAATATTAACCACTTGTCATAAAAACATTGACTGTAGATAAAATAGTTTTGGTTTCTTTTACATGTTTCAGCCACGCATCTGCTGCCACTTTGGAGCCGGTGTGTGTGTGCGTGTGCGTGCGCGCGTGTGTGGACAACCTTTTCGTTTCTCAGTAAAAGGAAATTGTTTTAAAAACTGCTCCACTTGTACGTGTGGATCCTATTTCCTGGTCACTGAGAACCTCGGTTTGTCGACTTCTCCGAGCTGTTGGACTAAACTGTCTTTGAACCTCTAACCGTAGCAATTAAATGTTAACCTAACCCAGTGTGCCAAGAAGCATGACTCACCACTAAACACCGTCATGATTGACGACAATAATAAGTGAATGCTGTGGGGATTAAAAGTGGTCGAAGCTGTTATATAGTCAACGCTCCATCAATGTTTAATGAAATCTAATCCAAGACAGTTCACAGGAACGTGTTCTGATAAGAACTTGTCATTATCTGGTATTATTACAACCTTCCTGGTATCCATTGTTCAACGTCCAGATTGATTAGGTGTGTGCTCAGTCGGACAATGAGTTAGCAAATCCTCAGAAGGAGCGAGCTGCTGTTCAAACTTATTATCACTGGTGTCATTTCAGAGGTACGGTAAGTGTCAGTGCGTGCAGCGACATCAAGTGATGCTGGGTTACAGTCGTGCTTTACTCTTCGTTTTCTAAAAGCAGCTGTGCAGCTGTTGAGGATATGAATTCACTTCCAGGATGCGCAGGTGCAACCGTACTTTTTAATAAAACACAACAGGAAATTAGCTTGGAAAAGTGAATTGAACAGACAAATCCAGTGGAAATGGATATGAAGGATGAGTCTCAGTTAGCCAAGAGAAGAAGCTGAAGCAGATTTGACAGATAAGCTTTTAATACAATGAAAGATAAGATGATCCTTCAGACGTAGATTCCTGAAGTGTAGTACTTACAAACAGCTGGATGTTGGATATCCGGATATGTCGATGTTCCACCTGTCCTACCTTCTTCTAACCTGTTATTAAGCCACTCAGCAGACCGTTAGTGGCAGGAATTCTCTGAAATGCAGATGAACCAACACATTAACAGAAGTCTGACTGTTTTTCTCCTCCTGGTGCTACACCCACAGGACAACAGCTTTGAGCAGTTCATCATCAACTACTGCAACGAGAAACTGCAGCAGATCTTCATCGAGCTGACCCTGCGTGAGGAGCAGGAAGAGTATGTCAGAGAGGTGAGCGTGTGAATGGTGAACTCTGGGATTCAATTCAATTTTATTTATATAGC